GGGGGATTCGGCGAAATATTACCCTTACTGATAATATTTCCCTCTGCAATGGGCAAAGCCGCTCTGGAAATATCATCTCTTCGGGTAATATTTTGCCAAATCCCCTCCCTCCAGGTTTATAAACGATAAATATCCTTCATAGAAAAAGGCACCAACATGGCCGCCATATTACTGTCGTTTAATTGCAAACAGATTGGTTACAATTCTAAATTATCACTTTGAGATCAGTGCCGGTTGCATAAAAAGGTAGTTAGAAAGTTAATTATATACCTACCTCGATAGTTTTGGTATTTGACTCAAAACCTCACACTGAACGTTGGTTAACGGCTTCTGATTATCTACAGCAGTACAGGGGATAGCGGAGCTAAACATTCGCCGAGTTGAATGGAACATTCCATCTTTCATCGAATGAAAATATTCTTACCATTGCACGAATAAACATTCATTATTTGTTTTGTATAATACCAAAATAGACTAATAGATTCGTATGAGAAGCATTTTGACGGATGCGATTTATCGAAAACATGTACACTAAGTGTGCAATGGAATAAAACGTAATATTATACCTCAAATTCAAATTGCCCAATCAGGAAGCTTAGTTTGTGCCACGTGAGCATGAAATTAATCGCGATATCACGCCTTACGTCATCAATTAGCGAGCCTGCGTTCTTTTTGACAATGTTCCACCCCATGTTCCCCGGGGAACATGGGGTGGAACATTATTCGCGTACACCACGCGGGACAACACGCATGACAACAAGATGGCCGACAAAACATAAATAGTATTAATGAGTGATGAATAATTCAATTTTAAACCTAAAACCCGGGGCTTTTTCAAACCTAAAACCTGGGGCTTTGTCATTAATATTCCAAACGATATGTGATTCGAAAGAAAAGCGACGACACTTGCGTTAATCCGAAAATAAGACGTCATATTCACGAAGGTATATGTCAAGTTTTTAATTCTCAACTTGGAAGCTTTTAATTTTCGGTATAATATATCATTTATAGACCTTCCGCTCGGGGGGTTCGGCGAAATATTACCCTCAGTGATGATATTTCCCTCGGGGCAAAGCCCCTCGGGAAATATCATCACTTCGGGTAATATTTCGCCGAATCGCCCTCGCTCCAGGTCTATAAATGATAACAGTACAATTCAGGAAAACAAAAAGAAAGTTTTCCAAAACCTCTTGAGAACAATAGAAAATTGACGTGATACGTCCACTTACAACATAGTAACCTCGTGGTCGTTTTTTCATTAAAATTGAATTCCAGTAAAAGACCTCCCACTGTAATCCTAGATCTATAGTTAGTGTGAAAGTTAAGCAATCAATGGAAAATCGCGTATTTTAAAGTCACTGCTTTTAACTACCAAATGGTGGTTAAAAAGTAGTTAAGAGTTTTTTTACAACCGGCCTCTCGCGTTCATTCAACGCGTTACTACAAAATGAACCCGCCGGAGCACCGAGAGAAAACGTGCGGTTTTTGGTCGGTCAAGCTTGAAATTCGCTACCTTACAGACACAGGTGAATGAGAAACGATATGAGCAGAACACTACGGTAATATAAATTAAAGAATAAGCCTGATATAGAGTATAGTGCTATCAGAATCTCCCATTACGTTTCTGATGTATTTTCAAAGGGCAAAGCGTCCTCTTACTTTAATTTTTAACTTTAAACAAAAGACACTGAGTGTTATATCCTTAAATTTAACTATTTTTAATATATATATTTAATTCACAGTTACTTCGACCAAGTTCTCCAAAACAAATCATTCTCAATCCCCCACGCCATTGAATAGCACCACACCTTATACACTTCCGTACAAACTACTTCTGCTTTAAACACTGCATCTCCCCTTTACTTTAAAGTAAACTTAAAACCCGCTAATATGAATATCCTTTAAATGTCAATGTTGCTTCAAACATCAATGACTATATTACCCGTCATTTAACACTACTAACAACGACCTAACACCGAAACCTAACAAAAATACAACTTATTTTATGAGAATATATAATACTAGATTATATCAGTCTTTAGTGTTAGTTACTACTTAAATATACAGAATCCTTGATATAGCTTCATGCTGTCAATAATGCAAAAATTCTGTTAGAATATATGCTTTGCTGCGCATCAGTGTGAAACCTAAAATCTTTTTCGCTTATTTGCGGCACACAGCTTGAAACACGTACATTTTCTAACCCTAATTATTTCCATAATTATTTCAATATGTATTAAATGAGGGTTAGATGAAGTTTAGACCAGTCTGGTTTTTTTACCAGTGAATTTTTAAGGCGGGCTTGGTGAAAAATCACATGTGTCGACAATTTTACCCAGCACTGCACAGAATGCCTTGCGCGAACTTTGTGTCTCACATGGGTGTCAATTCTGGGGGGATGAGGGGGGGGGGACGCGTTCCCCCAGTTTTTGGAGTGGGGGACGAATATCTAATTATCCCCCCCCCCCACACTTTTTAACATGTTTAATGAAATTTTGTTTATTGGTAATCGAAAAACCTAATGCCTGCTATGCTATTCATCCAGACATTTAATAAGATGAAGTACAACGTATGACCTTTTTGTAGCCCCTGGGAGGAAATACTGACATCGCATATCTTATGTGAATACTAAAAATTATTCAAATTGAATTCAAATTGGTATACATCTGCATGTAATTTACAAACATTTACATCAAGGCACTATTGGTCGTATTCACTTCCTGTTCTAACTGGCAAGCTCCAGTAAATGAGACAATAATTCGTTTTACTTGTTTTTGTTTTTGGGCCCCTATACTTACATTATTTCATTCTTATATTTAGTCAGTTCGAATTATTATATTGAATACGGATAAAAGAATATAACTAATATAAAATAAAACATTAACATGTTCATTAACATGTTCAATATATGTATATATATTCAAAGTGGAAGATACTATATATGTATATTTTCAGTAAAGAAGGTTATAATATATTTTAAACTATTATACATCAATTATTGAGCTAATCGACATAATCGTATAATTTACTAATTTAACGACTAAATTAAGATTTATTTTACCATTTTCAAAAGTTCAAAGCCAAAAGATTCCATTTTTGTAGTTTCTCGCCTGACCATAATTACTAAAAGTAGTAGATATATCAGTGCAATCTAACTAAATGAATAACTAACAACTAATATAATTAACAACTTTGACGCGCTTTATCCCACTTGCACAACCTTGTTTCTTAGAGGATTGCTCACAGGGACGCCGGAACTGGGGGGGGGGGCAGGAGGGGCAGCTGCCCCCATTTCCCTTTACCAGGAGGGGCAAGGAGGGCAAAGGTGCCCTTTCAATTTACAGGATTGCCTTGGCGAAATAGCGAATGGACAATTTGCATTATAGACTAAATTTTGATCTAGACAAAAATTTCATCGCAGCTTGAAAGAGCATCACGAAATTAGTAATATTCCAAAGTTTCGTTGCGAGATATTGTAAAATGCGGATAATTGCTGCCGAGCGTAGCGAGGCAGCACACTATTCTTGACACGTGGTGGTTTCTCCAGAGTCCACTCGACCCAGTCTTTCGCGCGATCTATGTATAGTCGAGATCTCGATCTTGTGTCCGTCTGTCTGTCTGTCTGTAGAGATGTCGTAATCCGGGGGGGAATAATTAAAAGCTTCAGGAACGTTTGTTAAATGAGGGGAGCGGATTTTGTATTGCGCACGCATCTCCATGTGCTCATGATTTTCCAAAGCTTTTAAATACGGATGCATCGAAAATATTCGGAAAAATTTAGGTAAGTATGGCTCTATTTCTTTCTTCTTATATACATCAAGGCGATGATCTTTTTAGTGTTCAATCTAGAGGCAAACAGTGTGCTTTTATGAGTTTATCGGCACTTTTAACTGCCCAAAATATACCACTGATCGATTGGTCAAAAACAACATTGAATAATGTCTTAATACAAGGTGACAAAATGTACTTGCAAGCTCTGGATAATGGCTTTGTTGTCTTAGAACCTGGTGTCGAATTTATGTCCGTAGATAACTTACCTAAAGTTGTCAGTGCTTCATGTTGTACAAACATGTTTTCTTACGAGATATGTGATTCTGTGATCGACACACGTATAAATGTACCAGCTGTAGTGCATGCGAAAACAACTACAACACTTGTGAATCCTTTTGATGCACAAAATAACGATACTATAAAGCCCATTGAGGCAAAAACTAATGATCTGCCCATTGAGGCAAAAAATATTGATCTGCCCATTGTGGTAGAGCCCATTGAGGCAAAAACTATTGATCTGCCCATTGTGGTAGAGCCCGTTGAGGCAAAAACTATTGATCTGCCCATTGTGGTAGAGCCTGTTGAGGCAAAAACTATTGATCTGCCCATTGAGGCAAAAAGTATTGATCTGCCCATTGAGGCAAAAAATATGATCTGCCCATTGTGGTAGAGCCCATTGAGGCAAAAACTATTGATCTGCCCATTGTGGTAGAGCCCGTTGAGGCAAAAACTATTGATCAGCCCATTGAGGCAAAAATATTGATCTGCCCATTGTGGTAGAGCCCATTGAGGCAAAAACTATTGATCTGCCCATTGTGGTAGAGCCCGTTGAGGCAAAAACTATTGATCAGCCCATTGAGGCAAAAACTATTGATCTGCCCATTGTGGTAGAGCCCATTGAGGCAAAAACTATTGATCATCCCAATGAGGCAAAAAATATTGATCTGCCTGTTGTGGTAGAGCCCATTGAGGCACAAAATAACATTCGACTACCCATTGTGGTAAAGCCTGTTGAGGCAAAAAGTAACATTGATCTATCCATTGGGGTAGAGTACAATTCTGTGGTAACTAAAAATGAAAGTCAAATTTGTTTTATAAATTATGGAAAAGAGCTTCAAGGTCTTGTTATAACCAACCGAAAAATTGCATCGCACTACTATGACATTCACACAGCACTTTTGAATGTGTTTTCAAATTATAGTTTTGCTATTTTAATATTAGAAGGCTATATGATGGCATTGATAAAGCAAACAGATTTTTTCTATTTATTTGACTCCCATGCCAGAGACTCCAGTGGCATGCCTGATCCTAATGGCACTGCTGTTGTCATGAAATTTGCTAATATTCCAGGATTAGAACAATATTTGTATTCTCTTTCAATGATATTGCATGCCAATTCATTTGAAATTGTACCTGTGCAATTAAATATTAAACGTGTACGTAACGCTTCAGAGCAAAAAAGTAAGTGTGTAAAAGATCGAGAGTATGTTCAGAAAAAGAGGCTTTCAGTAGAAACTGAAGGTGATAAACAAGCTAGACTTAAGAAAGCTAGTGAGTACAAAAAAACAAAGCAGTCAGAGGAAACTGACAGTGAGCAACAAATAAGACTTCAAAAATTAAGTGAGTCTATTAAACAGAAACGCTCAGTCGAAACTGACAGTGAACGACAAATTAGACTTGAAAAAGATAGTGAGTCTAAAAAAAGAAAGCGGTCAGAGGAAACTGACACCAACAGACAAATGAGGCTTCAAAAGGATAGTGAGTCTAAAAAAAGAAAGCGCTCAGAAGAAACTGACAGTGAACAACAAGTTAGACTTAAAAAAGATAGTGAGTCTAAAAAACGAAAGCGATCAGACGAAACTGACACCAACAGAAAAATGAGGCTTGAGAAAGAAAGACTTAATAAAAAACAAAAGCGGGCAAGAAAAGTGTCACAACCTCAACATGAAATAAATCAACCGGATTATTTAAATATGTTTGACAACACCAATAATGGTGGTATTGAAGAGCAATGTTGGGCTAAGGCTAACATTAATAAGTTTAATAAGTCTGTGCAATACATTGTCAGTCAGTGTACAGAATGTAAGGAGGTATGGCCCTTGAAGTCTAAACCAAGGACACCTTACATATGTTCCCGATGCTCCAGAGATAAAAAATCTCCTAAAAAGTTCTCTAGTGAAAATTCAATGATACCTTCATGTGTTCCACATGAACTGCAAAATTTAACTCAGATTGAGGAAATGTTGATTGCTCGTGCTTTGCCCATCATGAGAGTTTATATTAAACCTGGTGGTCAACGAGGTTATTCGGGGCATTGTATTAACCTACCGCAAAATGTCAAAGAACTTGCAATGTCTTTGCCAAGATATCCTAAAGATTTAGCTGTGATTATTGTCAAGGCTAAAGGTAGAGAAAACACATTCAGAGATGTGACAGTGCGAAAGCAAAAAGTGCACAATGCTTTAGTTTGGCTTATCAATAATAATCCACATTATTCTGAGTTATTAATTAATGAAGATGCATTAAATTCATTACCTGAAAATGGTGTACCACCAGATCTTATGACTGTTGAGACTGATGATGATATAGTCTCAGATGACAATTGTTTTCCTGATGTAGGTCCTCCTACTGATAATCCATCAGAAGATATTGTTTATAATGACTCTGCTGAAATGAGTAGTTTTTTACCTGTTGGCGAACAACAACAACAGGAAATTGAAGCTGTTAGAAATCAGCTGTCTGAAAATGAGCCAATGCCGTGGCCTTAAGCTGAAAATGAGCCATTAAATGAGTATCAGATATCGCATCTGGCCACAATGGCTTTCCCAACTTTATTTCCAGATGGAAAAGGTGATCCTACTAATCAAGGACTTCTGAGAGATGTCCCTCTTCAGGAACGAATAAAACATCTTCTAAAATTTGCTGAAATTATTGATGGTAAATGGGTATACCGTTTTGCTAATCACCCCAGATTTTCATATTGGGCTTTTAATATGATTCAAAGAAAACGAATTTTACAACAAAGTGGAATATTCCTCAAACAGAACCCAGGTGAAGCACATCTCACAATTGATGAACTGCGTGAAATGGCTGCCAGTAACAATGCTAATGTATTTATGTCTAAAGTGTCAAGATATGTTGGCAATATTGCAGGTACTAATGCTTACTGGAATAGAGTAAGAGAGGAACTCAAAGCTATCATAACTAGTGTTGGAGCACCAACATTATTTTTCACTTTCTCCTCTGCAGATATGCATTGGCCTGAATTACACGCTTTATTTAATGCTGATACTGACAATGAGTTAGGGAACTCTACCAGTGAGGTACGACGACAAAATGTGATCAACAATCCCCACGTTGTGGATTGGTTTTTCACACAACGATTAGAAAGCTTTGTAAAACACTGGCTTTATGATACACTTGGTGCAAAATGGCACTGGTTTCGATATGAATATCAAGGTAGAGGTAGTATCCATTGTCATGGTACTGCTAAACTAAATAATGACCCAGGTTTGTGCCAGCTTACTCAGACTGCTTTGAAAGGTTTCTTAGCTCAAAAATTTAAAGATGAAAATTATTGTTCTGACACAACTGAACTAGACCTGGATATTGAAACTGGTCAGAAAGCAGCTGAAACAGTATGTCAGTATGTTGATTGGTTATTATCAACCGTCAATCCTAATCCACCAGATGAGGACATGTGGATTAGACCTGAGGTTCATCCATGTCAAAGAAGTCATGACATTCCTGAGCATGAGAAACAAACAGATTATGTAGATCTATTAAACATGGTTCAACGACACACTCGTTGTAGTACAAGTTATTGTCTTAGAAAGAAGTCAAATGAAGCAGAGTTGAAATGTAGATTTCACTTCCCTTTTGATATTTGTCCTAAGACAAAATTAGAATTTGAAAAAATTCACGCTTCGGGTGATAATGAGCATTATCGAGCTAAAATTGTGACTAAACGAAACGACTCAAGGTTAAATAACCATCAACAACTTCAGCTCCAAGGATGGAGAGCTAACTGTGATATTCAAGTTGTTATTGATCACTATGCTTGTGTTGAATATCTCACAAAATATGCAGCTAAAGGTGAGCCAAGATCACCTATATTAAAACAGGCATTCAATTCTATTGTGCAAAATGTTGACAGTAATACTGACCCTCGTAGGGCTATTAAGAAGGTAGTTATGAAATCTCTTGGTGAAAGAGATTATGCAGCTCAAGAGACAATGCATCATTTGTTGTCTTTAAAATTCCATAGCTCATCCTTTAAAGTGATGTCAGTTAGTCTAAATGGTTCACGTAGAGTGCGTGATACTGCAAGTATTGATGAGGGTGAATCATGCACCGATTATTCACTTCTTGACGTGTATGCTAATCGTGAACAGTATGACAGTTCACAAAATATAATAAATATGAACTTTGTTCAATTTGCTACAACATACAAAGTTGTTAACAATGAACTGACAAAATTGCCAGAGAATGTTATACCACGAATATTTCCAACATAGGTCCAAATTTTGGTCTATATTGTAAATATCAACTTTTGAGGTATAAACCGTGGAGAACAACCCAAAATAATGCATGGGGTGACCAAGAACCAACTGACGAGGTTTTGATCAATTGTTGGCATGAATTTTTACAAACGGCTTATGGGCAGTCTAATGTCCCAGACTGGTTTGACAAATTACAAGCTGTCATTCAAAGTCAAGAAGCAGAAGAAGAACCTTCTGAAGAACAGGAGACAACTCGAGAAGAGTGGATGATATTATCAGACCTCAACACTCCTTTTGATAACTCTGAACAAACAGAGTCCACATATGACTGGCATGTTGACAGAGCCAATTATTCTGAACAACAAATCCAAGAAATGCCAACATGGATAAAAACAAACAAAGAGGAATACACTATTGATGAGCAATATGATGTTGTTGACATCAACAGTTTTAGTGAAATGCAAAAACTTGCTTATAATATTGTTAAGTCTCATTTTGATGATACATCATCCGAGAAAGAGCCATTATGTCTCATTATAAATGGTGTTGCAGGAACTGGTAAAAGTTACCTTATTAATGCTATTAGAAATCTTTTGCAAAGTAAATGTGCTGTTGCTGCTACCACAGGTAAAGCAGCTTTTAACATTAGAGGTGTAACTGTGCATTCTCTATTAAAGTTACCTATAGGATCAAGAGGTAATAAAGACCTAACAGGACAAAGCTTGTGTAGGTTACAAGAGAGTGTTGATAACATTGGATACATCATTATTGATGAATACTCCATGCTTGGCCAAGTTACTTTTGGTTGGATAGACAAGCGTTGCAAACAAGCAACTGGTTCTAATGACAAAGTATTTGGAGGAAAATCGTTGATTTTAACTGGTGATCCAGGTCAATTGCCACCAGTAGCAGATAAGCCTCTTTATCATGCTAGACCATCAAATGCTGTTGGTGAACAAGGTCATCAAGCATATCATATGTTTGACAAAGTTGTTAAACTCACTGTAAATCAACGTGTGCAAGGTATGACATCTGAGCAAGTACAGTTCAGAGATTTGTTATTACGACTTCGCAAAGGTGACTCAACAGTTGCTGACTGGAAGTTACTTCTGACACGTCAACCATCAAATGTCAGTAATTTATGTGATTTCGAAGATTCTACTAGACTCTTTTATAGTAATGAACAAGTTGGTAATTACAACCATGAGCAGCTAACAAAACTTGAGCATCCAATTGCTCATATTAATGCTCGCCATTCATCAGCATTGGCCAAAAAGATATCCTCAGATGATATGTCTGGGTTAGAACCTGTTGTGTTTCTAGCAAAAGGTGCTAGGGTCATGTTAACTATGAATTTGTGGTCAAGTGTTGGCCTCTGCAATGGGGCCACTGGAACAGTTGTTGATATTATCTATCAGAACAACCATCAACCACCTGACTTACCTATTGCGGTAATAGTAGAATTTGAAAACTATAGAGGACCTGTTTTTAATGAAAACCAACCATTGGGTATCCCAATATATCCAATCACTGTCACATCACAGACAGAAATAGGTTTCCATGAGAGGCAACAGTTACCTCTTAGGCTTGCTTGGGCTCTAACAATACACAAGAGCCAAGGACTTACACTTCCAAAAGCATGGATAGATATTGGCAAATCTGAAAGAACTGCTGGAGTTTCTTATGTTGCTATTAGCAGAGTAAAATCACTTGCATCTTGTGTTATTGAACCAATGACGTATGAACGATTAACAAGCTTGAAATCATCCGCTAACTTACAATATAGGCTTGAAGAAGAAAACAGGCTAGATCAGTTAGCACAGGCTACTAGCAGTGCATTTACAACAACAAACTATTGAGTTTGAATAAGAGAGGGATTTCATATATGGATCCCAGTTATAGTTGAGTATGTACTTTGACTATATACCATTTTAAATAATTTAATTTATTATATAATAACTACATGTAATTTACTCCTTGTTATCACTCTATGTATGAAAATATTATGATTTGCAAGA